TAAGTGGGTGATCTCTTGTTCTTTTGTTTGTGGTTAATTCAAAACAAATTTTGTATAAAATAACAGAAAGCCCATGCAACATCTTGTACACTTCTTTTAAATATGATCTGTTCCTTCGTACCTCAAGTGTCCATAGACTTAGTTTAATTATTCTATCTGTATACGATAGAATATACACTTCCTCTACTGTATAGATGTTCCACTTCTTTTATCATTTTACTATCAGATTGTTTATAGGCAATAGTGCGATTTATCATTCTTAGAATCTTGTTTGCATTGCCATAAGCCCTCATACACTGGTTAGATGCTTTCAAATCATTTGATATTACAACCCCAAGGTTTTTTTCAGTCTCAATTTCTTCTAAAATAAGCCCGTTTATACTGTATTCATAACCAATCTTTTTTTTTTCAAAGTGCATAACTTTGCATTTCATAACATTAAACTGCATTTGCCATTCAATGGACCACTTAACAAATTTACAGATCTTCTTAGAGATGCAAACCATCACTTCTGGTATTAACTTTAGAGAATATTTTAGTATTGTCAGCAAATTTTAATATATGGTTTGTCACACCGGTATCCAGATCATTAATATATATCAAAAATAGGATTGGACCTAATACTGATCCTTGTTGTATGTCATTATTTACTCTCCTAAAAGAAGAATTTTTTCCATTTAAAACTGTCGTTGAACCATGTTAATGAACCAGTTTGTCTTCAATTCCATGACTATACAACTTTTTTAGCAATCTTTGATGAGGAACCTTATCAAAGGCTTTTTGAAATCTCAGTATATCACATCTGCAAAATCTCCATTGTCAACAAATCCTGTTACTTGCTCCAAAAACAATAATAAATTAGTCACACAGGATTTTTTTTTCCTGAATCCGTGTTGCGAGTCTACTATTGCTTGATTCATTTCAAGGTAATTGACTAAAGCATCCCGTAGTATTGATTCGAATAGCTTACAAATTTGACTGATAAGACTAACAGGTCTGTAACTTTCTACGTTTGATCTACTACCATTTTTAAATAGTGGAACTACATTACCACTTTTCCAATCATTTGGCACCATCCCATCATCAAGTGATTTACGAAACAGCAAATAAAGTGGAACTCAAATTTTGTTTTGAATATTGTAAAGTAGGCTTGGCCCTTTATCATCAGCTCCAGCCAATTTATCTACTTTAAGTTTAGACAATTTTGTTCTCACATCGTTAGACTTGGCTGATATCCAACAGGTTGCCATACTGTTTTGATATTTAGTAACACACCTCCTCCTTTTTTACTGGTTTATCATGCCTAAAAAGTATGCAATTAGCTAATTCAAGTTCAGAATCCAATACACTATCCGTAGTCCAACTCTCAGCTATCCCAATAATATCTGGTTATAAAGTATAGACTGTTGCTTGGAATTCACTCATTTTATGATAAAGATATGGTAAAATTAAATGCAAGAAAACTTCCTGCATTTAAGTACAAGCATATTAACGGTGATTCATCAATATAATTAGATAACAGGGCTACATTACTTTGGTCAATTTTATTTGTGCAAACTCTATCAATTATATATTTTCCCAAGATTTCTATAGCCTTATGATTTTCATTCGTTCTGGTCATTCTCTTACCACATGTATCCATTCCCCCGGAATTTCTTTTGCTGTTTTTTCGTTCGCCTTTGAAACAAAAATTTTGAGATCTTCTATTTCTTTTATTGTTTAATCATGAGCCACTTTTACTGACTTATAGTTAGTATTTGCATTTTTAAGTTTACTTAGATTCTCCATCACAAGGTTTTTTTGTAATTGATTTCTTAGTTTTACTAATAATGGTCTTGAACGAACTATTGTATTCTCATCTATTTTTCTAAGCCGGATCACTTAAGTTATATCTTGTTTAACAATATCCGAACTAATTACACTTAAAAGTTCGAGGCAAAATTTCTCGTCTTCTTGGTATCGTTCATCAGCCAAGGTGTTGTTTCTTTCTGGTACTCTAAATAGTATTATGTTATTTCTACGAATTTCCTTGTTCTCTATTTCATCAGCTTTCTATTGAACTTGTCGTAGAACATTTTGCATCTTGTCAACATCTATTGCTCTGGTCTTTAGTTCATATGTTTGATAAGTGATAGTTCAAAACCTTCAACTTTGTTTTGTAATCTCTTAATTTTCGTAGTTAGTTTACCTGCACCAGAGTTACAACCTTTACAGAACCTATGTGTCTGGTCATTTGAACTAATAACTTCATAGAACTCGTTTGTAATCCCTACACACTTATAGTGATATCACTTATCCCAGATTTCAAACTGTATAGCGTCTTTGCTGCCTATATTCTTGTCACAAACACAACACTCATTTTTATCGCAAATTGTGACTTTGTATTTATCTTTAACTTCACTTATTGAACCTTTAAGGATTCTTTTACCAGTCGCCATTTCCACAGTTCTGATTTTACAATCCATAATGATAGGAGGAGGAGGGCTACCGCATTTTAAAATAGTGGATTACCTCTTTGTTGTGAACTTTTCAATATGTTAGTTAGTTGATTACACAGGGACTAAAAAGTTTTAGTATGTGTTTTTTTCCGAAACTTTTAACAAACATCTTAGAATGTCAAAAACTTTACATGCTGCTCACTGTGAAACTCCATTTTTAACAGCTTTAATTACTGATATCATCGGTTCATCATTCCATAAATGGTGTTTTCTGTGTTTGCTTCTCTGTTTTTCAATTTTCGTTGAATTTTTTTATTTTTTTTTAGTTTTGTTATTTTTTCCATTCTAAAGGAAAATGCAATGGTTATGACAGTCTAAAAATAAATGTCTATGTTTCTATGATTATATCATATACATGTATGAAGTAATTCAAACCGGTCATTCTCTTTCTCTCTCTGTATGTATATATATATATATATATATATATATATATATATATATATATATATATATATATATATATATATATATATATATATATATATATATATATATATATATAAATATATATACATATATTAATATACATATATATATACATATATATATATATATATATATATATATATATATATATATATATATATATATATATATATATATATATATATATATATATACATATATTAATATACATATATATATATACACATATATATATATATATATATATATATATATATATATATATATATATATATATATATATTTATATATAGAATGTATGTATGTTATAAGATTGTATACAGAAATATACAAAAAAGAAAAAAAATTGAACGTTATACAAAATAAGCATAAATGCAAAATGTTTGAATATAATCAAGAAAACTTTAAAAATACCAAACATCGAGTTTACAGAACATAATACTTATCAAATTTAAAAAAAATGTTTTCAAACTAGTTAACGAGTCAAAAAGTACTTTAAACTGCATATTTATAAATTATAAAGTCTAAATATTGTATTTTTAATTTAAAGAAATCAATACAACCCTGCATTAAAGATTTTTTTGAAAATCGCCTAGAATAAGGACGCATACATAAGTCAGTTTATCTTAAATAACTCGCTATGTAGGGAGTAGCACAATGGCGTCAAGAAAAATATCGAAAAAATAACAAAAAGTAATTTTGTTAAAATGTTAAGTTCAGATCTAAAAAACAAATTATTATAAAAACAAGTATCAAATATTATAATTTAATAAGCTAAATAATCTTTTTTGTTGTGCTAAAACCCAAAAAAAGCAATTTGTAACAGTGTATGTACTTGTTAAAAAGTGTAAATAAAATAAACTATAGAGAAAACGATTTGAAAAATCTTCTAGCTTTTGAAGAGAAATTTTGAAGAGTAACCTCCACAGATCAAAAATTTTTTTGGCAGCGAAATATAACAAGTTTGAAATTAGATAGCATTAAAATAATTACCGAAAAAACGCCGAAAAATTCGCCAGTAATGATATTCTGAACTTGTCATACGGTAAAAGTCACGTGACTGAAGAGCAATATTATAAAAATAATTTATTTTTAAATTTATAAAATATTCGAGTTGTCTTTGAAATTTGTGCTTTGTTTGCAAAAAAAAAGTTGGATTATACTTGTGTACAATTCCGGTTTTTATTTTACCTAATTTTTACCTTCCACAAATTTAATTTTGCTGCGGGGATTTTTTTTTTACTGCGGATATATTACTTTACAGATACTGAAAGTTTAAAGCATCACAATGCACAGTTAAAAGCATTTAATGATTGTTAGATATCTTTAAATGCAAGTTAACAGTTCATCTTTAACTGTACTTTCAGTTAAAGAAAGAATTAGATTTTGTCGTACATTACCATATAATTTAATATTAAAATCAAGATAAATATTGTTATACAATAATTATATTTTTAAACACCTAACATTTACAATATGAATATTTAAATGCGCACAAATAGAGTATAATGGACATTAATATATATATATATATATATATATATATATATATATATATATATATATATATATATATATATATATATATATATATATATATATATATATATATATATATATATATATATATATATATATATATATATACATACAAATAACTTATTAATTATAACAATTATAATGCATGACGTGATGTGAAAAATATAGCAATGACAGTAATAAACTAATGACAGTCGAAAAATATGTCAAATGTTTCACGAAGTATAAAACTATACAATAACTTGTAATGATTTGTTTGAAGACGCATCGTTGTTTTGACATAACCCACGACAAAAAACAAAACAACAAACAAATACAATTAAAAGATCGGCAAATGTTCTTATCGATAAAACTTCGAATTAAACTATATATACAGACGTTTACATTCATAACACAAAAAAGGCGCGCAATAATAACAAATAGGCATTAGGCCACTTAAATTGTGCTGTTGCTTAGAGTCTTGTTGAGTTTTTTCAAAAACTTCGAATCTTTATTAATTTATATTTACTGATAAAAAGTTTTTTAGAATTCGATTACTGACAATTAATCTTTATATAAAACAACCTTGATTAGATATTTTCTTTTTTAAACAAAAAATAAAAATCTAGAATTATTCCATGATGTAACCATTGATTATAATGTCTTTTTTATACACTATCATAACAAAGTTTATGATTTCACCACACGTAACCTGTAAGTATTTAAAACACTAAAAATTTATAAAACTTTTGATTTATATTGTTAATCTATAAAAGTTTCGATTTGGTTTAAATTGAATAAATTATAAATAAATATAAAAAAATAAATAAATAATTTTACACCGTCTTCATGTAAATGAACTCTAATGTTCAAAATAGCCGTTGTATCATTGAGTTGATTGTTGTTTTAAAGTAATTTTCTAGATAAAAATGTGACATTGAATGAGCACAAAGTTATAATTCGAAAAAAAAGTTTCAAAAAAATTGCTTACTATACAGCTATATATAAAGCCTATAAAATGCATTTAGTTTTCTTTTATTCATTGCTACCAAATTTATAAAAACATTGTCATGTATAACACTTGCGTGACTAAAATAAATAAGCCGCTTAGTTAATTTTAATAAGCTAACTGCTAAGTATAATTTAATAAATAAACTGTTTAGTAAACAAAACTTATTGGAAATGTAGATTGATAATTTCTAATTATTTTTATTCTATATAAATTACACATTATAATACTAAATAATTTTCATAATGTTAGCTTCAAATCTTTTTTTGATATTCATGTTACCTATTTTTTTCGTATTTTAATAAAATAAAAGAAGTTATTTAATGTTAAGAGCCTTTTGCATTTGTATTTATAACTATATTTTTGGACATATGTGTATTTAAATTTTTTAACATTACTAAACCATTTCATAATACTGCATCTTTTAAAAAAAATTCATTTATTCATTGTTTTATCTCTTACTGTATATATGCTATATAAGATAGTAGGGTAGACCAGGGGAATGCCGACACCTTAACACAATTTGATTTTTATAGTTTTTCCTAGGTTAGTTACGATTTTGGTGAAAGTACCTAAAGATTTATCCTAATTTTCTGCATCAAATCAATATGTAATGTTTTAAAATTATTTACATTACAAATGTTACATGAATGTTTTTTGTAATTTAAGCACAGTGTCGGTATTTCCCTAGCCACCGGGGTAATTGCGACACCCCTTTGGGGTAATACAGACATTAGTAATTAATAAGACAATTATCTTACCAAACATGTTTAATTGTTACATAGAGTAAATAAACGTAGTATATAATTGATAGTAACAAAGTAAGACAGGTTAACTCTTTGAGATACAAAAAAAAGCTTATTCAAATCGAAGATTAATGAGGAGGGCAAAAGTCACAAATATAGTTTTCAGGGGCATCATAACCGCTACAATCTGCATGCGCCCATTTTCAATAATAGACACAACGATACCATAGTTCAATTTTTTTTTCCATATTCACCACAAACTAGACATATCTCTGTGTCCTTTGAAAATAAATCAATCCCGTCGTCAAGCTCGTCATTATCACATAGTTTAGTTTCATCAATATCTTCCTCAGAAAGTTGATTCTTCAAAAAAAATTTGTCTGCGACACCTCTTCTTTGTTGTTTTTCTTTTACCTGCTGACTTGTTTTTAAGATGAGTGTTCATTATAGTTTTCACGATTTTTCCAACATTGCTAGACCTATTCTTCAAGAGTTTAAGTTTGACTTTAGGTATCACCTTAGGGTTGTCCATAAGTTTTTCTAGTCTAAGCTCGGCTTTTACATCTTTAATTTCTTTTTTCCTTTTAGCTTCTTCCAAAACTGCTTTCATAGGGGTTCCTGACATGGTTATGGAGTGTTGCTTTCTGTTATTGCAATCATCTTTATTATCTGTTGACAAAGATAGAAGGGGTAACAAATATTCCAGAGTTTCTTTGAAACATGTTGGGTTTTGGGAGGGTTTTGGAACAGCTTTTAAAACTGTGTCCTGCTTTGAAGAACCAGCTTCTGGATTAGCATAAATCCCTTTTAAATTCAAGCAAGCAGTTTTATTACGCACAACCTTCTGATGCCCTGAATGCTGTCGAGTTTCAGTAGCCGATTCGTTGGTGGTTTCTGGGTGCTTAGCGGCAGACAGATTGATATCTTGATTAGATTCCATGTTGGGTGGTTCATCAACTTTTTCGCGGTCGATTATGACTGGTTGTTAAATCGTATTTTTGCAGATAAAATCCAAATCACTGAATTTTTCTGGCTTAAAAAGGAAAATACCGGATGCAGTGAATCCTGAAACCCCTTTCTCCATTGTTGCAACATTCATGTATGGTTCGTTGAAGATGGAAGCAATGTCGTACACTGTTATTTTCTGGAAGCGGTTAGCTCTTAAGAATTTGTCACACTGTATGTTGAATGCTTTTTTCAAAGGCCAATAAAATGATAAATTCAAAGGCGATAGCTTATGGGACGTATGGGGTGGTATAGAAACTACATTAATATGATTCGCTCTGCAAAATTCATAACTCTCTAGAGAAATGGGACTGCTGTGGTTGTGTAACACCAATAGCACAGGATTTTCTCCTTGAAATGTTTTAGACAAAAAAGAAGTTTTTGTTTGATCAGTCGTTGTGAGAGCATGTATAGATGGCTCCCGGAGGCCCCCTCTTTCTATTTGTGGAGACATCCGCTTCCGGGGATAGATAAACATTGGTGGGATGAACCCTCCAGAAGCACTGATTGCACAGACCACCGTAATGTTTCTCCCCCGCTCCCAGCTTATAACGGATCCCACCTGATGTTGGCCCTTTGGTGCTAATATCTTGGCAGGTTTTTGGACCGTTGAAATACCTGTTTTATCTATATCGAATATTATTGTCGCCTTAAATTGGTGTTTCTTATATACTTCATCTAGGTTAGCAAAGAACAAATCAACTTCAGCTTTATTGAAAACCAGAACTCAATTAAGGCTTGTTGCCGAGGGCTGCCTCAAGCTCAAAGTTGGGTTTTTATTTTCTGAAACCAGCCACTTAGTCTTCCCAAGCCATCTTAGTAGCTTTATTGAAACTATTTTTAAAATTTACCCTGTCAGCAAGGTCAAAGGCTAGCCGACTCAAATCAGTAAGGGTTACGCCATAAAACTAGTTTGATAGTTGTTTCATGTGATCAGCAAGTAATGCTTCTTGTTCAGGAATAAATACCGCTTTTCTACCCAATGCTGGTTTAGCTATGGAATTCAATTTTAGTCGGTCGTGTAGATTTATCCTGGGTATCTCTAACTCATCTGAAACACTTCTTACGGATCTGCCATTTTGTACAAGTTGAAATGCTCTTTTTAAAGTTTACTCGTCCCATTAACCCTTCTTGGAGGTGCATTTTCTTGATCTTACCATCTGAAGGCAAAACAAATAAAATATTTTAACATTCCCAAACTTTTTTAAGGTGGTCCTGTACTAGAAAACCCAAAAAGTTCAAAATACATCTTAATTTTCTGATTTTTTAAAAATGGTATAGCATTTTATGCTTAAAACACAGTAAAAATTATAAAAGTGAAAAAAAAATAATTAAGGTCAAATTTTTGGGTCCATGGATCCAAAATATGGACTACACACTGCGATAAACAGTTTGTGAACCAACTCGGTGTAGTTAAGTCGAAAAAAATTTAAATAATAAATTTTGCGGTATCATAAAATATAAATGTTTGTAGCGAAAAAACCCAGACCGTGTAATCTTTTCTTTTTTAAAAAATCATCTTAAAATCACAATCGCTCGCCCAAATTTGAATAAGATTTTATATTAACACGTTTTTTAGGTGAAATGAACATTATAGTTTAACAATATGATCTGTTCTGATCGTTTATTGGCAATTTTCCATAATTATAAGCTCTTTCTTGGTCGGAATTCCAGTATTTTTTGTGAAAATTGATAGAAATATTGTGTTTTGACAACTATATATAATTAATATAAGTCAAAACCGATTACAACTAGGATCAGTAGTAAATAAAGAAACTTTTTTAAAAGATTTTAACTAAATTCATGTTAATGCCGATGAGCGGAATTGATCTAAAGCATCCAAAATAGTGTTCTTTAGATACATTATTACAGGTAGAAAAAAGATTTTGAAAATTATATATAAAAAAAAGAAAGGTTTCTTTAAATATTATAAAAACCTAAAGCAAAAAAAATAATAACATTTAAAGATCTTGTTTGGACATAATATGCTGACAAAACCATGCCAATTCCAAATAAAAGAATTTAAATATTTTGTAAATCGCCTTAACTACACCGAGAAGAATGGTATGATCATAAAATTTTCACTAATTTTTAACAACATATGCACTCACTCTACTAAAATCTAATGATTTAACAGACTATTGAAAACTTGGGAGGAAAACAGGCTTAAGGATTAAAAAAAGCTACAAAAAGGCTTGGAAAAGACACCCCTATTTTTGAACTGGTTCGTTGACATAAATTATTTTGGTAAGGTGAATGTATATATATGCAATAAATAAATCCTTAATTTTCAGCAAAATCAGACAAAGCAATGACAAGATATTTATCGCATCGTGCAAAATATCTTATGTTGAGAAAAACAACAATAAAGATATTTTTTGAGAAAAAATGAAATATATGCATATATAAACATACAAATAAATAAATAAATAAATAAATAAATATATATATATATATATATATATATATATATATATATATATATATATATATATATATATATATATATAAATATATATATATATATATATATATAATTTATAGCAAACAAAACTTGAACGTTATAATAAATACAGAGAAAAATTAATGTTAAAATAATGCTAAAGCTTTAATTGCTATGAGAAACTTTTGATGAAGTAGAAAACTGATTTTCTCTCAAACATATATTTTTAAATATCCTGCAACATCTAACTTTCCTGATAAATCTTTTTTTCCCATAAAAAATAATAAGCATTTAGAGCAAATAAAGTTAAACACGAGGCTTTTTTATTAGTAATAATTGTAAACATGCAAATTGTTTTTGCAAGTCATTACTTTCTTAAGTTAAGCAAACAGGAAACAATTACTGGCTTTAATGTTTCTAACTGTGTCATAAATCTAGTGTATAATGGCGAAAACTCTAAAATAGCTTTTTTTTAATATAAAAAATCCGTTGCTAGGGGTGTTACTTAGGAAGAAATTATAACTTTGTTACAAAACTTAAAATTTTATAGTATTTGAAATATAATTTATGCGTGAATAACATAAATTTGCTTAAACATATTTATTGACACTATACATTCCTTGTATATATATATATATATATATATATATATATATATATATATATATATATATATATATATATATATATATATATAAAGAGAGAGAGAGAGAGAGAGAGACGTATATTTTATTTATATAGTTTTTATTTTTAAAAATAAAACAATGAATGTAAATAAAAAAGAAAATAATTTTTTTTTAAGAAAAGCTGATTATAATAAAGTTTAAGGTTTTATTACAAGTCTTGACTGGC